GGTTCGTCGCAGAAAAGACTAGCGTAGTCGTGTTATGGGACACAGTTGATTGCAAGATCCCTGATGGTCTAAATGTTGGTGATGTTTCGAACAACATTAAAAAGGCACTTAAAGATTGCGGTTACAACAAGGCTAGTGTTTGGATCAAGGCTTATGGTGAGAAACAGATCAGATCAAAGATGAGTTTCTCTCCGCCAAAATCAATCCAGTTCACATAACAGGTAAATTCCTTAAAATCTCTTAATTATATCACCTTTTTTTTTACCGAAAAATAGAAAAGTACAATTTCTACACGCAACATCTGGATACACAAACAAACATGCCCTTATGTAACATTGATATATGTGTTTAATTTGTGTGGGTTTTTTTTCAGGAGATGGAACTGAGAGAGTAAATAAGATTTCTTTTGACATGTATGCCTGTTTACTTAACCATCCTGATTCAGATGTTATGTTTGTCTTGGGAGACATAGAGAGTTCATCGAGGCGCTTTGTGGATTGAGAAGGAGAGATATTAAACCCCTTGTTTGCCAGCCTCGAATTGCAGCGGGATTGCTACTTGTTCCTGCAACTAAAGTCTGGCGTTGGGACAGTCTAGCTTTCGGAGGACCCCCTATTCCGGACACGGAATGCATTGAGCTCTCTCGAGTGAAACATCGTCGTAGTTATTATAATGGATTCGTACAGGGACGATTTAGTGATGAAGAGGTAGATGATGAGGTAGAAGAAGCATCGAAGTCGGAAGAAGAAAGTCTTGAACCGCAATCTACTTCTTCGGCTTCTCATCAATCATTTCCTCCGGAGTACATGTCCAAGATCCAAAGACTTAACGATATGGTTCAAGAACGTGATGCGAAGATCGTGGAAATGGAGAAGAAGCAAGAGGAGTTGGAGAATGCACACAAATCTATGCGTGAGGAGCTGAACGAGATGAAAGAAACTATGGAGGCTAAATTCTCCGAGCTATTTAAGTAGTCGAGTTTTATTTTATAAATCAATTTATGTTTTTGTTGTATAATTTTTGTTTAGGCAATTTTATAGGCCTTGGAATTAAAGAATAAAGAGAACAACCTTTGGATCATATAACTAAAGCCTAAAACTACATTTTAAGTGAATATATAGTTAAAAAATCAAAGAGAAACTATGGAGGCTAAATTCTCCGAGCTATTGTAAATTAGATAAGATAACCTTTCAAAAACCTATGATTAATTCGCAATACTTGGATCTAAAGAAGAAAGATAACGGCCCTAAGATCAAACCAATGATTCGAAACAATTGGGTCTAAAGAAAATATATAGCGGTCCAAAGTTGGTTGCAACTTGCATGAAGGCACAAAATTGGACAAATATGATGTTAAATTTTTTTTCCGACATAGAGACTTGGAGTAACCACAATACTTATTCTCATGAGCAACACCACAAGTAAACAAGTAGACGCTGATGCTTTATTTTTTTCTTCTTTTGGTTGTTGATTACGATCTTATTTAATATTCTCTCTACCAATTGCAATTTTTGGATCCTTGTCTT